CTGGGACCACCACAGCTCCGGGACAGAGATCGACACCGGGACCACAATCAGCTCTGGGATGGCTCTGGGACCACCGCGTTCACTCCGGGCAGTTTTGGCTGTGCCCCTGGGCGAGACTGGGGAGGGCTGGGAGGGACTGGGAGGGAACTGGGAGGGAGCCCTGGGCAAGGCGGGACCGCCTTGGTTCGCATCATTCCAGTGCAGCCATCCCGGTCCATGTGGTCCCGGTCCATGTGATCCCAGTCTCTGGTGCTGATCCATACGGTCCCGGTCTGTGCAATCCCAATCTGTGCAATCCCAGCCCATGGATCCCAGTCTGTGTGGTCCTGCATGGCACACACTCCAAGAGTCTGGAATTCCAGTTGCCAGCAAGGAAAAGATGTTCCTGCCCTTGAAGGCAAAACTCTTGAGAAGGGGCCGAGAGCCAAGTGCAGCAAGATCTTACAGTGACATTTCCCTGCCAGCCCCCAGAACTTCACCCATGCTTGTTGTAGCTCCTGGATTGGGAATTAAATCAGGGCAGGGTCTCTGGTGGGAGCTGCCCTGGGTGCAGGGAGACGCTGATGTCAGCGTTCAGGAACACACATAATCACAGATTGATTATATGCAGGTGCTTGATTGAAGCACACGGGAACTAGGGGTATCAGCAGCCCAAATCTAGCTCCATCGTCTTTGTCCAAAGTGCACATATTTATACAATTTCAGCTGTAGCAGTAATCACTGTAACAACCTTATCAATATTGCCTCATTAATATTGCTTGATTAGCTTTATCAATATTGCTTCATGAGAGTTAGCTCATCCTTGTACGAACATGTACGAATCTTATCTCTGGGTGGGTATCTTGGAATCCCCAAGTACCAGTTCCCGTTACTGTAAACATTTCAGCTTGCTAGACCATCCCCAATACCAGACATTCTTGTGGCCTACTTCTACATGGTTTTCAGAAACATTTTCAGAAACATTTAACCCCAGAGTAACAAGGGTTTCACTGCTGTGGTGTCACAGACAGGGGAACACTGGGGCTGTCACTGCTGTGGTGTGTGATAGATTGACATTTAAGAAAAAAAGACGAACAGCTAAGGATGTTAAGGTTGCTGGAGGGTGATGGGAGTTTATTCTCCTGGCCTATAACTGGTCATTTCCAAGAACTGACAGTAGTTTTGACCATTGAAATGTGACATCAACCTGTGAACATCACCCTTTAAATCTTAAGCCTGGGAATTTCTCTTTTTCTTTAGTTTCTGGCTTTTGAAGAGGTAACAGGGCTCTGGTTCATCCTCTTCCCCCACAAACAGGACAAGGCCGCAGGGGGAAAGGGGCTGGCCGGAGTTCTGCGGTTCCTGGCGGGGGATGGAGACTGTGAAGTGACAGGAGCCCCGTCCCAGAGGGAAGTACTCCCATCTGTACTACTGGACTGCCCTGACTGTCAATCTTTGACTTCTTCAGAGGGTTATTGCTAAACAAAACCTTGGTTTTGCCTGCTGACATTGCTGGTCCGGCAGTGTCCCAGGAGATGCTCTTGATGGTTTCCTCTTTTCCTGGTCATGGCACTGGAGGAGGTCCAGACCCAGGGGATGCCACTGAAGGAAATGTGCCCTCATCCCAGGGACGCTCAACACGGACTCCCCCAGCCCCTCAGTTCCCCGCTGCTGGTCACAGCAGCCCCTGCCTGGCTCCTGCCACCCACACTCTGGTCAGCCCTGCCTGCTCCTGGACATGGGGCTCAGCCAGGGCTGGTGCTGTGTGGGCTTTGCTGGTTGTGCCAGCTGGACACTGGGGTGAGAGCTCCATCTCTTTATTTGAACAGAAGAGCTGTGCTGGGCCCTGCCCTGGCAGGAGGGACCCACCTTGAGTCCAGGCCACAGAGCAGGGTGGGTCCCTTCAGGGACACAGGGCCTTGCTGTGGGTGGTGGCAGCATCTGCACAGCAGCAAGCTGGTAATGCAGCTGTGACAGGGACAGTGGGCATGGGCATGGAGATGTGAAATGTGTGGTGCAGGTGTCCCTGAGGGAGGTGTTTGGCCTTTCTCGTGAAGCTGCAGAGGGGCACCTATTGAGAGAGGAGATGGCTGAGGTCCCAGCTGCAGCTGGCACACAGGGACCCTCCTGCACAGCGGGAGATTCTCACTGTGCTCAAAGATTCCCTCTGAACACTAAGAGGGGAGCTTGTCAGAAGTCCCAAAAAATACCTGGGAAAAGGTCTTAGGTTAGTTGTTGAGACTAGGTACAAATCTCCAGTGGGAAAAGAGCCTCTCCAGTAGGCTGGGTGTTTTGGGGTATCTTAGTTCTTCTTAGAGTAAAGATTACCAATTGAATGCAATTTCAGTTTTTATTCTAGATGTGTAAAAATGCTCCAAGTTTTTCTGAATTCTAAAACTACCTTGAAAAATCCTGAACTACTATGGAAATAAGGAAGAAATGTTTGTAGATTTCTTTCTACAAAAAATATTTCTAAAAATTTCAAATTTCTAAAAATGAAAAGCAAAGACAAAACAGGGTCACTTTTTCAGAATTCTAAAACTAATTTGAAAAATCCTTAACAACTATGGAAATTGGGAAGAAATATTTGGGGTTTACTTTCTACCAATAATAATTCTAAAGAGTTCTAAAAATTTCTAATTTCTAAAAATGTAAAAGAAAGTCAACATGGTGCCCCATGCCTGGCTGCTGCCTGCCCAGCCAAGGCTGTGGCCAGCCAAGCAGCTGTGCCAGTGCTGGTGGTACCAGCCAGAGCCCAGAGCAGAAGCCCAAAGGTGTTGCTCAAACCCTTCCCTGGCAGGAGGGGCCCACATTCAGGCCTGGCCAGGCACCAGGGCCAGCACCTGCAGGGACAGAGGGTCCTGTTCTGGGTGGTGGCGGCACAGCAATAAGCTGAAAATGGAGCTGTGGCAGGGACAATGGACACTGGCTTGGAGATGGAGGATGACAGGTGCAGGTCTCCCAGACTAACGTGTTTGGCAGGACATCTGGAGGTGCAGAGGTGCTCCTGTGGAGAGAGGAGGTGGCTGAGGCCCCCAGCTGCCGCTGGCACGCAGGGACCCTCCTGCACAGCAGGGCCCAGAGCGGCCAAGGCTCCCCAGCATGCCTGGAGCTGCTGGCACAGCTTGGCCCAGCTGGACAGCTGCCCCTCAAGGCCCCGGCGAGCAGGGGATGGCTCTGGGCAGGGTCCCTGGCCAGGAGCGGGCCCCAGAGCGCCTCTGCCTTTCAAAGGCAATCTCGTCCCCGCTCTTTCTCCTGCCCACCTTGCTTTGCCTCTGCCCTCTGCTCCTGGGGCTGCTCTTGGCCAGGCAGCCTCAGTGGGAGCCAGCACTGGCTGCAGCCCCAGCGGGCTCCCCAGGACAAGGCCCAGCAATTAAGAGACCAATTAAAGGCCTGGGCAGCAGCAGAACTCTCAGCACAGTTATTTGGGCAACTAAGGACTAGCCACAAGTGCAGAGCAGCCTCACTGGGAATGTTTCCCAACTATGAGCAGCCTTTCAAGAAGCTGTTTGAGGCCGAGATCAGCAAAACACTCACCGTTTTTTCTTCCAGCAATACCAGATTCCAGCATAGCACATCATCAGGAAAAGTGCTCCACCAGCCACAATGGCCATTAACTTCATCAAAACATGTGTTCCCTGGTAGAAAACTCTTCTCATACTCTCCCAGATATTCTGAGCATGTCTTGTGGTGCCAGCTGCATCTGTGGGAGCAATGGGCAGCGTGAGCCTGTGCTGTGCTCCACTGCTGAGCTGGCAGCACGCTGGATACGGCCAGGATGTTCTCTGTTTCCCCCAGAGCTGGGGCCTGCTGGCACCTTGCCAGCCCTTGGCACAGGCTGTGCCACCCAACAAAGCCCAGAAGGCCAGGAGCAGAGCCCGGGGGCAGCACAGCTGATTTGGGCAGTGGCTCCTTCCAGCAGGGACACGGGCCAAACCCATCCCTGAGCAGCCACTGCCACTCCTGACCCTCCCTTCCCTGTGACAGCTCCCCCAGCCCAAGGAGAAAAAAAAACTGTCCAAAAGTTCCTTTGTTTATTCCCATTACCTGGAGGGTCCTGTATATAGTAATGGTCTTGAGGATCTGATTCTTTTCAATATTTTTTTTTTTTTTTTGAAATTGAGATAGATGAGTCAGCCTTACTGATTTTAGATTTGGTAGGGTTTTATTCTTTTCTTAGTATGATTGTTTTCTTATAAATCCACATGTTAATTTATTTTTATTTCGATATTTTTGTTTCCTAAGCTATTATTTTGACAATCTCTTGTTCACTTCTTACTTAATGTTCTATCTCTAAACAATTTTGACCCTGTTTTCATAGGAATAAAAAAGATCTCAGAAAGCTGTATTTTTAATTTTGTTGACATTCTCTCTCTCCGCTCCCAACATTTACTATGATACTTTTGGAAACATCCCTGAGGATAGCTAGAGTTATTTGGGAAATGCTTGGCTTAACCTGGGAAATGGATTATTATTTTTGCCGCTCTAAACCTACATTGCTCCAAGCTTCACAGCCACTGTCCTGATGGATGCCTGTGTGAATTAAAACAATGTTTGTGAGGCAGCTGAAGAGCTCAGACTTCAGGGATTAAAATACCTTGGAGAAGGAGGAGGAGGAAAGGATAAAACAGCCTGTTTCCATGGCTGTTTTTTCATTTCTAGTATGCCAGAAGTATGGTAGGCTACACCTGTCTTCAAATGTCATTGAATTAGAAAAAAACTCTCTCCAAGGCAAATGATGGAACACTTTGCCTCACAATCCATCAGCCTTAATTACAATTAATTATATGGTCTTAATTATACTCTGATAAATTACGGCCTTAATTATAATCTGATTCGAGCAGATCAACATTGTGTGAATGGCAAGAAGAATTTGCTTGTCAACAGATGAATATGTCCTACTGAAGAATGAACAAAATCTGCCTTTACTTGGAAGAAAGGAGACATGGAGCAATGCAGTATTTGGGTTTTATCCAGTGATAAATGGGGCAAGAAGCTGTAACAACTCACCTGTTTTACAGAACACAAGCACTGATACAGCCAATAGTGCACCCACATTGAAGGGATCTTCAGGACGTTCCTTTATTTCTTAACAAGGAATGGGCAGCAAAATGCTGGCGTTTATCTGAACTGGAAGCCGTGTTCCTCTCCTGTTTCTCCTTGAGCACACTGTTCTTTGCAGACTTCACTTTGCAGCCCATCAATCCTCTCTTGGCCAACAGCTAAATGGCACAACTACCAAAACACAGGTGCCAGCATCATCACCCCAGCATTATTCCAGCACTGCTCTGCTGGTGCACAGCAGCACAGAATGGCCTGGCTTGGGAGGGACATTTAAAGGCCATCTAGTCCAGTGCCCTGCAGAGAGCAGGGACACCTTTGGATCAGGTTGCTCAGAGCATGAGCTTGAATGTCAGCAGGGATGGATGCCCACCCCTCTGGGCAACCTGTGCCAGGGTTTCAAAACACACAGCGTAAAAAACATCTTCATTAGGTCTAGTCTGAATCTACCGTCTTTTAGATTGAAAAAATTACCCCTCAGTCTTGTCACAACAGGCCCTACTAAAAATTCTGTCCTGTCTTTTTTACAAGCCCCCTCAAAGTACTGAAAGGTAGCAATCAGGTCTGCGTGGAGCCTTCCCTCATCCAGGCTGAACACCCCCAGCTATCCCAGCCTGTCTCCAAACCAGAGGGGCTCCAGCCCTCAGAGCATTTTGTCCCTCCTCTGGACTAGCTCCAACAGGACCATGTCCTTTCTGTGCTGGGCACCCAGAGGTGGATGCAGTACTCCAGGTGGGCTCACACCAGAGCAGAGGGGTGGTAGAATCACCTCCTTCAAGCTGCTGGGCAGCCTCCTTTGGAGGCACATGGCTGGCTCATGTCCAGCCTCTCACCTTGCAGCAGCCACAAGTCCTTCTCAGCAGGGCTGCTCTCCATCCCTTCATCCCCCAGCCTGTGAGATCAGCTGGGCTGGGACCCTGTCATAGCCCTTGGACTGAGCTCCAAGCCCTTGGACAGGGCAGGATGAGCTCCCTAGTGAAGAAGGCAGATCCCACTGCCCACACAATTCCACCCTGGCCATGAGGTCACAGCAGCCTGTGGGGTGACAGCAGGCTGAGGTGACAGCAGGCTCTGAGGTCACAGAGGTCCCAGAGCCCCATGGTTGCACAGCACCACGAGGACCGAGCAGTCAGTCCTTGACCACGACTGTTGTGGCAGCAGCGGTGCTGACATTGGGACAGCGGTGTCAGGACAGCGGTGGCAGCAAGAGCTGCAGGACTGGCAGAGGGCAAGGCACCATGGCCTTTGCTCTGCGCCTCCTCCTCCTGCTCCTCCTGGCAGTGGCCCTGCCTGACAGGGCTGCCCAGGCTGCTCCACAGCGAGCACAGGGAGCAGGTGAGCCCGCGGCCTGGCTTCCCTTTCCTGGGACAGCACTTCCTTCTCCTGGGAAGAGTTGGGGATGGTTTTCCCCAGGGCTTCAGGGAGGGTTTCTTCTGTGCGAGGGAGAGAGTCCCCAGGGGCCATGGGCTGGTCCTGCTGCCTCTCCAGGGATGTTGCACAGGGCCTGCAAAGACGGTGGAAAGTGACCAGTCAGCCCAGAGCTCCCCAGGTCCCTCTGCAGCTTTGGCCATGCCCACTGACATCTGGCTCCCACAGCCTTACCCAAACCCCTTGCAGTGCCCAGTTCCCTAAAGCAGAAGGGGATCCCAGCGCACCATGGCCATGGTTCTGATCTGTGCTTCCTTCTAGATTGGGATCATGACTTGCATTATTTGGGATCTCTGGTGAATGAGACTGAAAATGTTGGAGAATGCTGGAGGTAAGTTCTGAATTGCCACTTGTACTGACAGAATAATCTGTCAAGGTGGGAAGTGCTCACTTATGTGCCGTTTGCGTTAAGGTCGCGTGAGGGTTGAAGGAGTCTGAAAATTTTCCCTGCTCCCTTCTGCAGCCCTGAGTGATCCCACAGCACCGCTGAGGAAGGAGCATTTAGCTGTCAATTTTCTTCCCATGTGCAATGCCAGTGTCTCCTTCCATGTGCTCTGTGCAGCCACGGAGAGGAGCAGAGAGGGAAGGGGCTGGACCCAGGCCTTGCAGGGCTCCTTTGCCAGCCCCAGGGAGCCTGAGGATCTCCTACAGAGCCATGGGAGCTCTTCTATCCTACCTTTCCTTGCAGCCAAGCCTCTTGCTGAAGGTGATCTGGCTTCCCAACCCACATCCAGCACTGAGGCTCTGGGAGATGGCGAGGGTAGGCGAAGGCCTTTCCCCCTGGGAGAGCTGCCAGCTCAGAGCCCAAAGCTCAGCCAGGGCAGCATCGCTGCAGGTGTCAGGATAGAGCCGTGCACGTGTGTGCCCCCATCCTGTGCGATCCCCTCACCACTCCCGCGGCTCAGTGCTGCCTGTGCAGATGAGCAGAGATGACAGAAGCTCCTGTGGCTGTTGAGTTACAGGTGTGTCTGCAGGCAGGACTTTCCCAGCTCCTGGGTTGGTAACTGTACGCAAGCCCGGCTCCCATCGCAGGGGTGAGTGGTGTGTCCCTCCTGACCCCACAGGCTGAGCACTGGTTTTCTGGGATCCATTCCTGCAAAGGGGAACTATTTTCTCTTAAGGTCCTCCAAGTGGAAAGAACAAAGCTGCAGGACACCAGAAACCCCATGTGCCATGGAAACCCATGAGGCAAATGCTAAAGAAAATGCTGCAGGGAGGACAAGGTGGGTCCATGTCCCTCAGCCTTCTCCAGAGACTCAGCAGCCAGGGGCTTTCTTTGCACAGCAGAAAGCGGATCCATGGCAGCCTCACTGCCTCACTGTTGCTTTCACGGCCTGCAAGGCTGTTTCCCAGCCTGGCCTGGCTGCAGCTTCTCCCCAGCTTCTGCAGGAAGGCATTTGGCTATGGATGGTAAACCTGAACCACAGTGCCTGTACACATTACAGGCCGCATAGCTCCTCAGGCTGCCTGAGAAGCTAGCCTGGGAAAAATATGAGAAAGAATTAAAACAATTCTCAGGGACACTAAACAGCCTTGCAGGTGTTGTTTTGCAGTCCTCTTGTTTTCCCTTGCAGGAGAGAGTCAGGGGGGTAGTGAGCCCCTGACCAATGATGGTAATGTAGCACTTTGTTAACCAATAAGAGTTTCCTTTCGGTACTTTCCACGTATCTGTCTATAAGACAGGCCTGAAGCAATAAACTAGAGAATTCTCGTATTGAAACTCCCTTGAGAGTTTGTGTCGTTCTTTGTAGCCGTTCCCAATCGGAACGACATTTGGCATCAGCAGGCAGGGAGCCCAAACTACAGCAGGGGTCATGCTCACACTGAGATCCCCTGCAATTTCTCAGTCCCCAGGTAGATCAGAAAGGGCAGCTGTTTTGATGAGGTTAGGCCCTGGCCAATGCCAAAAAATTTTATATGATTTCCTGATCCTTAACCATGCCTTTGACAAGCATTGCCTCCTGAAGTTTCCCCAGTGGGGAATGGTTCCATCTGATCCAGCTGCCCCTTTCTGCAGAAGTGGACAGAGTGGCTGTGCTGAAGGCGGCGTTTCCCGGAGGAAGCAGTGGCCCATGGGCAGCCTCTGCTGCAGGAAGGGAGGCCATGCCAGGCACAGTCACAGGAGGTAATTGCTGTGCCTCTGGGCCTGAGCCCTGCTGAGGCTTGAGCTGCCATCTCTGCTGCTTGGCAGTGTGGATACAGCCCGGACAAGACCGGCACCGCCCAGGGGAATTATCCCCAGCAGGCTCAGGGCACTCGGCTACTGAGCAGTCCTGCTGGGGTCCGTCCATGGGAGACACATCCCAAAACCTGGCAGCGACTGCAAAGGGGTACCCATGGTGGGGAAAGGGCAGAGGGCGCGGGAGGGATGGAGGGAGTTTTGTCTGAGAGAACCCACAGGACCCCTGCTCTGGCCCTGACAACCCCCCTGGGATGTTGCACAGGGCCTGCAAAGAGGGTGGAGAGTGACCAGAGCCAGCCCAGAGCTCCCCAGGCCCCTCTGCAGCTTTGGCCATGTCCATTGACATCTGGTACTCACGATCTAACCCAAACACCCAAACCCCTTGCAGTGCCCAGTTCCCTAAGGCAGAAGTGGATCCCAGCTCACCATGGACGTGGTTCTGATCTGTACTGGCTTCTAGACTGGGATCAGGACATGGATTATCTGGAGGCCCTGCTAGATGACAGCTGGCAAAACTTGGAGAATGCTGGAGGCAAGTTCTCAATGTGCTTTTCCTGATGGAATAATGTCAAGGTGGCAAGAGCTCACTCATGTGCCATATCCCTTAACATAATCTCAGGGCTGAAGGATTCTGGAAGCCTTGCCCTGCTCCCTTCTGGAGCCCTGAGTGATCCCACAGCATCGCTGTCAGTGGGAGGAAGGAGCATTTAGCTGTCAATCTTCTTCCCATGTGCAATGCCAGTGTCTCCTTCCATGTGCTCTGTGCAGCCACGGAGAGGAGCAGAGAGGGAAGAGGCTGTGCCCCGGGGATGTGCCTTGCACAGCTCCTTTGCCAGCCCCAGGGAGCCTGAGGATCTCCTACAGATCCACAGGAGCTCTTCTGTCCTGCCTTTCCTTGCAGCCAAGCCTCTTGCTGAAGGTGATCTGGCTTCCCAACCCACGTCCAGGACTGAGGCTCTGGGAGATGGCGAGGGTAGGTGAAGGCCTTTCCCCCTGGGAGAGCTGCCAGCTCAGAGCCCAAAGCTCAGCCAGGGCAGCATCGCTGCAGGTGTCAGGACAGAGCCATGCTCGTGTGTGCCGTCACCCTACGCTATCTCCTCACTACTGCTCAGTATTGGCAGCTTTTTGGAGGAGGGAGGGCCCTGGCCCTGGCTCAAAAGCCAAGGCATATTTTGAACCTTATCCCCGTATTTGACAAGGATGAGGTCCTGAAAATGCCAGCACCCAAATCAAGAACTTCTCCATCTGGTTCAGCTGTGCCTCTTCCTTTCTCAAGGGATGGACCAAAAGACCATGCAGGTGGAGACGTTTCCCAGAGGAAGCAGTGGCTCATTGGCAGGAAA